CCGTCAAATTTCGATTGTGATACCAAATAAGATTTTACCGAGAAAGAAATTATATGATGGCGGAATAGAAGCACATGGTTAAATCAGGTGCTTTTAATGTTACTAGATGCGTGACAACAAAAGAATGTTAGTATCTGCAAGAAAAAATAGTTTTGATATGGGGAAAGAAACCTTGATTTTTGTAGTCTGAACCTCAGCACTGAGTTCAGGGGGGGAGAATTGCTACATTGCAAATAAGTGTGGAAAGCAGAGGACAAGATGATTTTGTGTCTCTAGATTTTCAGGCACGTACAAAGAGAGTGTGTGCAGCATCAAGACAAATCTTCTGGGAGGTCAAAGGAGAACTAATAATGTTCTTATTACATCAAAGGAGAACTAATAATTGGACTGGAGCATTGACTCTGATTTGGGTCAGTTGACTCTGATGTGGGATACAGAGATGAATAGTTACCCTCTTCATTAAACCATTTCTCAAGCTGCCGTGGTTAATTTTGTTTTCATGTCATGCTGTGATATGTAATGCGCACTTAAAGCCTGATCCCACTGTCAATTAAACTAGTGGTAAAACTCCTTCAGATTGGGAGCAGAATCTGCTCTCTTGTTTCTCACTGAACTAAATCAAAATAGGTACATTTATTTTGAAATAAAAATGCCCTACCAAAAAGACCAGGGGTTTTGGTTTGGTTTCAGTGCCCATCTAGTCATTTTGGTGTTCGTGTGCATAGGCAGGCCCAGTGGTCTAGTACTCAGCATGTGGAAAGCACCCAGGCTTTTCACCGAATTATCTGCCATCTAATTGAGTAAGGAGTTTTCTGCTTTTCTGGAAGGAATCTGTTCCAGGAAATACTACACTTCTTAATTTGTTTGCATAATTAATGACTGACAGTGGAGGTCTGAGTCATTGAAGTGAATATGATGTGGAGTTTCTTCCTCACACAAACCCAGGCAAGAGATGGGACTAAGTAGCCTCCCAAGAAAATGAACCTGTTTGAGAAAATTGCATATTTATGAAAATATGGAGCTTGATTTTCCTCGCTAGCCACTTGATTGCATTCATCCCTAAGGGCTTCTTTTTAGGACAGGAATGAAGTCAAGCTCTTATGCAGGCACGGTCACTAATCTAGCTCCTGTTCACACACAAAACCCCCTCTAGCCTGTGTGCGCTGATGCTTTATAACCAAGCCAGATGGCCTGGCCTGGCTACTTGCTATAGTCTGAAATCAGGCAGAAAGCAGGGTAGATTTGCACCTTAGAGACTAACTAAATCAGAGATATATGGCATAACCTTGCATGCCAAGCTCAGTTCATCAGGTGCCGTGAAAGGACAGGCACAGTTTAAAAAAAAACAGGTATTGAAGTGAAGAGCGATGATTGTCAACTGCAGTGCCACGAACGCTGGGGCACCGGGGGATGTTTTTAAGGGTGCTGCAGTTTGCAGAGAGGTAAGAAATACATTTTTAAATGGGGTGCTGCTAAATTCAGGAAAGTTATGGAGGGCTGCCTTGAGTCTAAAATGGTAGAGAACCACTGCCTTACGTGTTCACAGTGAAATGGCTGCTGACATGACCTCGATTTGAATCAGCAAACAGGGATGATATGTTCCATATCCAAGCATTTCCAATCCCTTGAGCCTGTAGATAAAGAATGGAAGCACTGATTTCTCTTATCCCTATAAGCTGTCTCCCTGCTGTACCACTGGTCAGAGGGGAAAAGCAGTCACGAGCAAAGTGTATGCTGGGACACCTGCTTCTCTGATAGCCCTTGGGGGTTGCACTTCATCGAATAAAGGGAGGAAAGAAGTGTGAAGCATGGAGCCATCGGTTTTTGTTGCTGCATCTTTTGTGATCTCTGTTGGGGTGTCAGAACTCTGCGGAGGCTGTTCCAGGGGGGTTTGGTGGGGTTTTCAGGGTTTTTTGCTTTATTTAAACTTTGTTCAAAACAAACCACTTTACTTTTATAAAAATGGCCCAATTAAAGCCTTCTTTCAACTCTACTATCATTCTGTGGGTGGATTAATCTGACTGGAAAATGTATCTGGAGCTGTTTTTCGTTCCTCTTGGAGGTGGAAGTGCATAATGTTTGTGTAATGCAGCACACGTGTCACACAAACAACAAACGACACCTCAGTCTAAACGTTACCTTTTGCTTGTGGTTTAATCCTGCATATTTCCATCTCAGTTGGTTATCTGGCTTCCAGTTGGCCTCTCCAATTCTACTCCAATTTAATAATATTTAACAACCAGCCATTCTGTAATTCTTTTTTAGGGAGACAGAGTGTTCTCACCCTCCGTTTTTTGCACATTTGCAAATATAACTGCACAGATTGGGAGCCTTATGTTTCTTTTCATGGGCTTAATCTCCTCCTCTAAAACTTTTTAATTTCTCCAGTCTCTTACTTGTGATTGCAAAAGCAATCCAAACATCCCCCCTGCAGGCTTTAAGTGTATCCTGGATTATTTGGCTAGAAGAGGCAATAAGAGAATTAGACCTAAAAAAGAAATCAATCTTGTGCTCTAATGACTTCTTACTTCCACTGCTGATAAAGTCAGGGGATTAAATCTCCATCTGCAAATCTTGCAAGGACAGTCTCAGACTGGAGCGTGGACAAATGATCGGACAACTTGGGCCAGTCACTGGAGTGAGCTCATCATGCAGCAAACACTTGGCATGAAGGAAGGCGTCTGTTCTAGCCAGAGGCAGACTCAGAGTTATGAGGTCAGGGATGAGTAAAAAAACCTCGTCTCCCTCTTGGTTTTGAAAACTGGAGATTTCTACGTGTATACCTGAGTATTCACTTGGCTGAAACTAGTGAAGGCCAGTGATTTAACTGAATAATCTCTAGCCATCTGTCAACCTGAACTCTTTCACACATTTAAAACCACCCCTCCCAAAAGTCTTGTACTTGATAGACTCCATGAGAGATCATGAGATCAAGCCCCATAACAGGCAAGGTGCACAGCTGAAAGGACAATTTCAGATTTAAAGTATATTTTAAAAAATGTTTCTTACATGTTTTATACTTGGCAATGTAAATGATCAAAAAGACTGTTGTGAAAAAATTGGATCCCTCCTCTATCAGTTATGCTCTTGGTTTACTCTTTGCACTACTTTTAGCTTGGAAAATGGAAAAAATGTGTCTGTTTTACCTTTGTCAATGTTTTCCTTCTGCATCCTTAAGATTTGAAGATTTGTGATACCCTGAATTAAATTGTTTCACTTGAAATTTCAAATAATTTCAATATTTCCCTTTGTAAAATGGTGGGGAAAGCTGCTTCCACAAGATAACAAATTTAGGGAGAAATTTAGCAAGACACTTAAGCATGTATAAAACTGTTCATGTGTTTATAGCAAGGTAGTGAATCAGGGCCTTAGCTGATTGGGCAATAGCACCTTGTAAATTAAGAGAATCCCCATATTCTTTTACAGAAGAGCCAGAATTTGATACTTCTGCTCATGCAGAATGGTCTCTTTCTCCATGAACAGTCTCATTCATTTCATTCACTATAGATGAAGTGTAAGTTGCAGGTACTTCAGATAAACCGAGCACACACTCTGGACCTTTTAAATATATATACCTGTAACTCATACTTTCTTAGCATTTTACACCCATTTCAGCAAGTGTTCCCAGTGAAGTCTGTTTAATTTTAGAGTTAATGGATAAAGCTCTCATAGCTACTGAGAGGAGTTAGTTTAAACATTCGGGGTCTAACCTTTCATGTATTTATGTTTGCCTTACAGGTGCATCCCTTAAGATTGCCCCATATATATTTTTATTTAAATTATCGCCTATTTCCGGTCCCTTTCCATTTTTACTGCTTGTACGAGAGAGGTAAATTTCTTTCAGAAAATATTCAAGTAGCAGCCTGGCCACTGAGTAATGCTAGCATTTTGTATACTTGTATTAAATTAACTGTTTCTCTAGGATGAAATGAAATTAGCCTTTTTATATATTCATTACATTTTTAAAGCAAGGGATACTTATACTTCCTGGAAACATTCTCAGTGAAGCATTGTATCACACAGAAGCAGCGCAGTGTTGGCTAGTTATTATCTTTGAATATGCATACCCAGCTCTTAATTTTGTGGGCCAGATTTTCTAGACAACCTTAGCTCGGCTTCCCTTTCTGTATACACAGAACCACAAAGAGATACATCAGATCGGTCAGAAAGATGCCTATGTAGTTGATTTCTCAGATAGGTAAGCAGAGAGGTTAACCACATAGGCAAATAATTATATTTCCAAATGGCCCCCACAGCGCAGTGGTGCAGAACTGAGATTTCAAAACCAGGCCCTAAAGGATTTAAGCCAATAGGAGCCCACACAGTAGCCCCCCATTAGGACCTCCATGCATGCATTGAGGGGAGAGCTTTCCTGTGTGACTTTACAGGTTAAAAACGTGAGGGCACAGTAGGATTCAACCAGAATCCTCAGTCTCAGCATAGCAGCAATTGAACGCCTGCTTAATTTCACACACCCACATTTCATCATTTTCCCTAAAGTAAAATAATTCTTTTAACCGATCTTGTAGAAGGCTCAAAATAAATTCAAAGTCTGGAAAGCTGACTTTTCCCTCAGCCGTGAGAACTGGCCCAAAAAAATAGAGAGAGCAAAAATAAATAAGATTTAGATCAAATTTCTGTTTTCCCGGGTGTTAACTGGGGGCTTGATTCTACAAAGCTGTGCAAGAGGGGACGGGGAGGAGCGGACTGAGCAGTAGCAGAGGTGCTGAGCATGGTGTACTGCACGTAATAGTCCGGGGACTCCTGGACTGAAATGGGAGTAATGTCATGTCCCCAAGCAATGGCTGCTGTACGCTCCCTTTAAGCAGCTATTGCTGGAATTTGCCAAAGGATGTGTTCTTTGTCTGTGTCCTTGGCCACACTTTTGCTACAGACCTTTAGCTCAGTCCTTAGCAATGGCTTGTACCCATTATGACAGCTGGAATATGGAAGGGGACACTGTTCTGTTGTAATCTTTAAATGTCTTTTAACTCTCGCAGATTTTTGACAAGGAAGCTAAAGACCTCGAGCGAGAAGTCTGCTTTATTGATATTGCCTGCGATGAAATACCTGAGCGCTATTATAAAGAGTCAGAGGTAAGAGACAACTCAAGTGTGAAAGAGTAAAGAGGGAAAGTGAAGGGTGCTATCGATGTGTGCTCATTTGCCATAGTCATCTCTTGGAGACCTGTCACAGGCTTTCAGTGGGGATGCAAGGAAATCCCCACCATTGCTCAGATTTCATTTTGTACTTTCCAAAAGTGTTCTTTTTTTCTCAGCAGTATCAGAGCAGGGGATTGCTGTATATGTATCACTGTGCAGCCAGTGTACCAGGAGCAGATACGCTTCGGAGTATCTCTCTCTCTCTCTTATGTGGCCTCTATATGCAGAATATTTGCATATCTGTTAAGATCTTAAGTTGTTCACATACATTATAAAGGCCTCTTAGCATGTCTACTAATAGAGATAGGACTCAAAAGCAGCTTAAATTCTTCAAATGAAATTGTGCCAGTCATTAGGGCTCGTGATATCAGGGAAAGCCTCTGTGTTTAGGCTGCCTGACACTTTTCTTTATCAACATTTTTTGCAACCTTTTCTATGAGATGCTTTTCTACCCCCAGTTTGCACTAGGTCTTTGGTACTCAACAGGGTAGCTTTCAGAGTGAAAAAGCCTCTATTTAGTGCCATCGAGTCCTGTTCAACTCTTCCTGCTGTTAACTGTTCAAAATCACCGTTTTCTTTCATTTGCCTGCATTCC